CCAAAATACCGAGACCATAACCTTTCCAGGCGATTGTTGTGCTTTCGGACGCTTTGGACGAGGTTCACCAGTTGCTCTCCACTCAGATGACGATCGTTTTGATTCCGGGGTACAGTGATGGATCTATGTTTCATCCATTGTCACATATCGATACAAAAATTTCTATTTGGTATGTTTAAACATGACCAAACACTGGTTAGAATCATCAAGACGTATCACTTAGATAAAAGACACTTCGGGACATTGCTCGACATTGTAAATATGAACTGATATAAAATTGAAAAGTGTGAAGCTTTATTATCTAGCATATTCAATTTCCTCTAATGCCTATGCATGAGTGTTTTTGATTATGTTTTTGAGTAAATACGTAATGGTAGTTGCTTTCTTCAGAATATTTTATACATTGGTACAGTCTATTTTGAAAATGAATTTGTAAAAATCACTTCAGAATTAATTAAGCAGATAAGTTATATTTGAAAACCATTTTTCGATAATGTATGCAGTGAGAACAACAAAACCTAACAGTGAAATACTCACGAAAAAGTAAGCAAGGAACAGATATTAGCTGTTTCTCTGGGATTTATTTTTCTCTTCAGTTTCTCACAATGATCCATTCTCCACCAAGTCTTCACTGCACTGTTTACCATTATACCAAATCAATTGTAATGATATCTTATCGACAATGCATTCCTTGAAAACAAATAATCTCTTTTGTTTACAAAATTCCATTATATTCTGCCTTTTTCAAACTGATTACAGAGAAACATAAGATCAGTTTAATCAACCAGGTTTTAGAAAAAAATGAAGCCAAAAATTCATTCAGTTGCAAATACTGTTTCTTTTCGTTATGAATCTTAGAACATAATTGAGTTTTAATATGAAGGGATTAGATACAAAATTCCTATTTATGAATAGACAGCGAGTAATGTAATATTGGGATTATGCTTTGATAATGTCATAAAAATCAAGTAATATCAATGCGTTCCTAATTATTGATCTCATTAGTTACCTTTTCTACTTTTTGTCTATGGTGTCGAAAGCAATTCATTAAAAATAATTTTGTTGTCTTGGTTCAAGGCACAAACATATCTAATTGTGAATACTTATCTGCCATTGAGTAAACCAAGGTTTATGAGTCACTACCTTGTATTTTGTACATACAAAGGCACTTTTTTGATTTTCTGATTGATTCAACCGTTACTTAATGAAGATCCATAATAATTTCATAAACTACAACTCACGATTTGATCTCCACAAACTTTGTGAAGATCAAATCGTAGTTTATGAAAGCACTTTTTTGGCTGAAAAGTTCGTAGGCTAACATAGAAAAAATGTTTTGATTAAATTTTATTTTATTATTCGATATAGTTACCTTCGAAGACGATACAACGATTATAGTGGTCATACAATTTCTCAATAGCTCTTTAGCCTCAACATAGGGATCAGTTTCGACGAATACATCTTCATCGGCGCTAAATTTCTTTCCAGCAGGCATTTTCTTAAGGTCTGACAAGAAAAAGTCGCTGGGGGTCATATCCGGAGAATTTGGTGGATGCGGAAGCAATTGGAAGCCCAATTCAGGCAACTATGCCATCATTTTCATTGATTTGAGACACGGTGAATTGTCTTGATCAAACAGCATTTTCTTTTTCTTCAAATAGGCCATTTTACTTCGATTTCGTGCTTCAAATGCTCCAATAACGATATGCAAAAGTCGCTGTTGATAGTTTTTCCCTTTTCAAGATAGTCGATGAATATTATACCATGCGCAGCCCAAAATACTGATACCATAACTTCGTCATCCGACTGTGGTGTCGGTTCCCAACGTGCAGTCCACTCAGAGGCCTCAGTTTCAGTATTAACCTCTTCATTCGAGCAAAATTTCTTACTGGTAAGCATTTTTTTGAGGTCTGCGAACAGCTAATAGTCGCTGGGAGCCAAATCTGGCGAATACAGTGTATGTGGGAGCAATTCAAAGTTCAATTCATGTAGTTTTGCCATTGTTTTGATTGACTTGTGACACGGTGCATTGTCTTGAAAAAACACAATTTTTTCTTTTGCCATATGCGGTGGTTTCATTGCAATTTCGGCCTTCAAACGCTCCAATAACGCTACATAATATTCATTGTTGATGGTATTTCCCTTCTCAAGATAGTAGATGAATATTACACCACGCACATTCCAAAAACCTATGTCATAACCTTTCCAACCGATTGTTGTGTTTTTTCATAAACTACACCTCACGATTTGATCTCTACAAATTTTATTTGAGAAATATATCTCGACATGTTTCACTAACACAGTAGCTTTATCAACAGTGATTTGAATTTCTTGCTAATACCACAGGTAACTACAATGGCGAATGTTCTTCCTGACGAAAATCAAGTAGTTTTCATAAAAGAGCTCTAAAACAACGCATTTTAAACTTATCATTTCAACCTTCTTCTTTAAAAAACTATTTCAATAATTTAAAAAGATGAATGAAATAATGCATTCAACATTTAAAGGGATTCGTTTCTATTTCACCATTTGGCAACATCGGTTATAGCTAATAAAGGACAATGAATCTGTCACCTGCTTACCTGTAAATGAGACAAACAAAGATGACATATTTCAGAGGCGTGCTGTTCTGTTTAACTCCTGAATTCTCGAATTTGGATATTTTGTCTTTATTATTTTTTGACTATTTCTTCCAACGTATTACTTGTTCTATTTACAATTTTAATTTCTCGTTTCCTCAAAAATGAAGCCACTTTTTTCGTTGTTTATCCAAAATACGTTAAAGCTCTATAATTTTGATTATCTAATTTATCAATAGGAAAAACGTCTCGAATTGCTTTTGCGTAGACTTATTTGGAAAGTATTTTGTTAATTAATTCGACTTCAAACCCATTGTTTACTGCAGGTTGCTTGATGAAGTTTTTTATTGAAATTATCTATTGAAAGAGGAACATTGACTAATCTGTTGATATGGATGGGTAGAATCGTAATGTATAGTAATATCCGTATAGGACGGTTTGTGATAAATTGAAAAATCATGTTTGTTGTTCATTGAGTTGTTGAGTTGATTGAGTTGTCTGCTTCTACTTCAATAGTGAATTTAATGTTTTCATGAATTTTGTTGATATCCAAGTATCTACTTGTCTCTTAGTACCTGTAAAACATACCAAAACGTCATCCACATATCTATGCAAATACAAGAAATTCCTAATCAAAGGATGTTTAAAAATCGACTTCTCTAGGTTATCCATGAAAATTTCCGTAAGTAGGGAACGGATTTCCCATATTTCAACCTTTTGAAAAGGAATAAATATTGCTGTGCTTTCAGGCCTTCTGAACTTTCATAATAATTTGCCCTACTCAGACCAGACAAAAAAGTTCAAATCAACTCCTATTTTCAAATCTTCACATACATTAAGTGACATATTTACAAATTCTCAATGGTTCTAGGAAAAATCGGTAACCGATCAAAAATACGAGCCAATCAACTAAGACGAATTCTTTTCAGAGCAAGATTTATAGTATACTCCTGATGTCGCCATTCATGTAAAATATTTTGTCAAAAACCCCCGAGCTACGACACTCTTAATGAAACACCAGTCATTTTGTTTCATAGCTTTTGCCAATAAACAAAAGAATTAGCAAATTGTTACAATTTATGTAGGCGAGTGAACGTTAACGCTATCTATCAAATAATATTGATTCTAATCTGACAGGATAAACAACGAAAAACAAATAAAAATACCATTGTCTGAAATGATAATATATTCCAAAAATTCAGATAAGGGAACATCATGACTTGATTTCATGATATGCAATCAGGACAATTGAGGGCAGACTTAGAAAATGATCAATAGAAACCCTGATGTCTAAACCAATTCAGTTTTGTCTTGTCAAAATCTTTTCACGCGAGTAATAAGATTGACCCAGTCAGTGTATTCGTGTTACGTGTAATTACATTGAGTACTTATAATTTTAATGCATTGCGTGTTCTTTTCGTGTAATGGAAATATGCGTGTAATTAATCGAAAGGTAGAGTAATCGTCATAAAATATAAATTTTTTCCAAGTTTCATATCGAGGTGGTCTGCACAGAACAAATTCGAAAACTAATATCACAGATACAACGATGTAACAACGAACATTATACCTGGTGGGAACAAAACCTATGTGCCATAGTGGATGTCTACTCAACTACACTCTAATAGATAAAAAAGGAAACTGATACAGCCTATCGAATAGTGAAAAAACTTAACCTTTTGCCTCTTGATTCAGTCCCATATGTATTTCATCCGTAGACTTGCAGATATCAGTCCTACAAGTATTAAAATACATTAATAAAAGCTTTTGAGACAGTTGAGGCAACGTTTCTATCTGTTCTGATTTTTAACTGTCCTCAGATGCTACAGTTTTTATATTTTGTTAGATGATATTCTGACAGAATGATCATGTGTTTTTGTAGCATTATAACTATTAGTTGTTTTGTTCACGTGTTATTTATATATGGGAGCGTGTTTCATGAAGTTCTATTCTCATTTCTCATGAGATAAAATAATAACATCTAGAGCGAATAATTGGCGTAGTGATCTAGAGATCGACAGTTCGAATGCGTCTTTGATAAAATATGTTTTTTGCGTAAATTTATCTCTTCGAGGGTTGATTAACTCTGCTACGTTACATGGTGAACAGGACTTTGAATAGTCATGAGGCTCTATAGGTGCCTCGGAGAGTTTTCAACAAAACTGACCTAGTTTACGAGGCTAATGGACGGAGCATTCTATGCCATTAACATACTATGAAAAATAATGTGAAAAGGAACTTTCAGTTTTTATGATCGTCATGATCCAATTAATTTTCTATACAGTATGTCTTTTTGATGAGGTATTTGTCTTCATTTATTCCAATAAGTATCACTCAAGTTTTCATCCCAATTAAAAGATATCCTCATTAACCAATTTGATTCAATGTAAATATTGCACAGGTAAGTAAAAGAAACAAAGATTCGCCACAGAAGTAATTTTTATTTCTGTATCATTCATCACTCCAGAATGAAATTGTTTAGTTGAATTTTTCATTCTCGTGATTCCAAACAATCTATCAATTCTTTTTTCTGATCCGCATTCAGATTCGGCAATTTATAAACATGATATTTAACAAATAATAACACGTTTCCATCAAGCATGTGGTCTCCTGCTACAAACAATAGTTTCCGATAAACATCATCACTCATTTTAGTTCTGCACTTCAAGAATCTCTGGAAAAAAAATGTTTCCTTTTGGTAGTTGACAAAAATGTACAGTTGAATATTCATTCAAACTATAGTATAGTTCAATATTGAAATTCGGTATCTATTTAAAAAAAATCTGTAATTGTCGATGTGATCTTGTGAAGCAGGCTATAACATCGTCAACATACTACGAGTTTTACGAATAAAAAAAATATCTATGTTTAAAATACGTTTTTTCCGTTAACCATCTATCGCACCCCTGCGAACAACAACCCTCAGAAGTCGAAACTTGTGCGAGCTAAGGACTAACGAGGTCTTACCTTTTAACGTGTAATTTCTAACACGGGTTGGACGATAGCAAGTGAAAATCGAGCGTTCAGCTTGCGGCTTGAACCACATCAGCCGATTGACTGAGTGAAAAAAGCACCTACGTCGAACCGCCTGGCTACCGACCGACCGGTCGTTATAATTTCCGAAATCAACATGCATCATTCAATCCGAAATCTTCACGAATGCTGATTTCGAAACAAACAGATTATTTTTATTACTGATAGTGATGCATCATTCACAAGAAACATTACATGTTTATGATAAAGAATTCAACAACTGGAATTTCAGGAACTATTGGGATTATAATGCTGCTGCTTCTTCCAAAATCTCTGTTGCAGCGACCTCTTACAACCATAAGATATCGCGAAGTATCCATTCATTGAATATACATGGGTTCTACTTCAAAATTCGATCATTTCAGACGCCGAACTAACAATTGACTTTTCATGCCACAAACCGCGTGCTTTTTCGAATTGATATCTTCATTCGCTAATTGACCAATAGAAAGAGTATCCTAGCGGATTGTTTGTTTTGGTTTAGTTATCGTCGTGGTTTCCATTGTGAATCTATTTCAGTGTTTGTTTAATGTGCCTATCCAGCACATTCCATATGTTCGAGTGCTTTTCGGAGATAAAAGATGCGTCAGGTCTTTATGCGAATGAGAGTAACAGTTGCCAGAAGAGTGGAGAATAATGGAATGTTGTCTTCAACTCTTGAAATATTCTGAGAAAGCCATTCGTGAAATGAGAAGCTCTCAGACACTCACACCATCTGTAAAGCATCTCGTCCACTAAGAGCTGAAAGCTGCGATAACTTGCGAAATCAATTCTTCGGAATTCACACGACAACGCACGAACGATTCAACCACATGGATCGGTCGGGAACCGCGTCCACTTGGCACGTATCGTTTGTCAGTTTTCGACCAACTAGATGCGAATTGCGAACCGATTGCGTTCTGCTTAGATTTCATTGCTATATAGTGGGAAAATAGTTATAATAATGTATTAAAACGTGTCTTTCCTAATTCGAAAATAAAAAAAGTGGTGATCATCGTTGATTTGAAGATCATACCACAAATGAGAAAATTCACCGAACTCCTTTTTTGGGCAAATGGGATTCATCCACATTTTCCGACTTGGTCGATATCGCCTGTGCCTGATACGACGAAGAATCAAAGGTGATAATTCCAAAGCGAAAAAGTATTCATCAGAATAATTGAAAAACCTGTTCCAAAGAATCATCTCGCCTACTAGGAATCCGGACGAATACCAAGGCAATGGACGCTTCCAGTGGACGAGAGGCCTAATTCTAACATTCAAGTGCTTATAGAATGTTCAAATCAGGATGTATCTACCTCGATGCGAAACGAGCAGTTTTCTCAATCGCTAAAAATGCAATACTCTTCTCAACGCGAGTTTCACCAACCAACTTGGCGTCTTCAGTTCTTGCTTATCTCCTAAAGACGCCAACTTGGTTGGTGGAATGCCCGTCAAGAAGAGTATCGCATTTCTGGTGAATGGGAAAAGTGCTTGTTCTGTATTCATTCTACGCCAGTTTTACTTCGAAATGAAATATCTTCAAAATGCTCCGAGTTCCGTATCCGCATTCGTATTCGCGGACACGCTACACTAAAAAAACCGTATCCGCATCTGCGGATGTTGAAATTTTTGCAAGAGTAACAATCCTAAAACATACCTATACCATTGAAAGTCCATATTGCCAAGCACAAGAGAAACACACAGCGAGGAGAAGAGGAGAAACCAGCAAATCAGGAATAGCAGAGCACATTTGGACTCATCAACATAATATCAAGTGGTCCCACGCTAAAATTATCCACAGGGACGAACACTAACTCAAGTGGTAGTTTAAAGAAGCTGTATATATTTTGTCCAACGACGCATTCAGCCAAGCTAGTGTAGAGATACACAACATATGGAAACCTTTGATCAAAAAACGGTCAACTCCCAATGGCGCAGTGGATCAAAGCGATAGAACCACCACAACAAACCACTCAATATGGATTCACAGACCATCAAATTGACAGATCCAACCGTCGTCAACAAACTTCTTCGACCAGTCCCATATATCCAAAATCCAGTAACGTTCCCCACAAAGCTTTCCTTCCTTACGTTAAGGGTATAACTGACAAAATTGGCCGGATTCTCAAAAAACAGGACATAAAAACGATATTCACCGCCAACAATCAAATTTCCACATATCTCCGTTCTCCCAAGGACAAACTTGTAAATGAATCTCAGGGTATATATGAAATTCCATGCTCCGATTGCAATGGAAAATTTGTAGGCCAGACCAACATATGTGTGACAAGTAGAATATACGAACATCAACTTGCTGTCCGAAAGTCAGACCCATCCTCAGCCTTGTCCAAACATCATCAAGAGACAGGACACAACATAGACTTTGCGAACACAAAGCTCGGATAATTCGATAGACCATCGAAAAGCGACCTTTCTGCCTGAACAAACGTGATGACAGTCAGAGACTTCCAACTACCTAGAAACCCCTAATTTTCCAATGGTCACCCCCCATCAAGACGTCCGCTAATGGTCATCACCCGAAGCCCCGCCCACACCTTTCCACTTCAGTAACTTCCGTCGATTTGAATAAATACTGCCGAACACCCTTCGACACCCAAGTTGTGACACTGATTCTAGGGGAAGGTCCCCCAATAGAAAACAATGGCGAAGGAATCAGGACCAACTGAGAAGCTCTCAAATCGTATTTGGAAGCAATCCCCGGCATAGAACGACCTCCGGAAACCCCCAAAACCTTAGATGCTACGGTAACACGGTTTGAGGAAAACATCAGAAATACACTCGCAGCGGTTACCACGACGTACGTGAAACCAAGGAAATCATACAACGAATTTCCTTGACGAATCAAAACTCTAATTATAGAAAGAAACCGTCTCAGGAGAAGATACCACAGGACTCTATTTCCAGGAGATAGAGCCAATGCGAATGCAGAAGCCAGTGAAGTAAAACGCGCCATTCTAGACATCAGGAATGAACGCTGGCATGAATACCTCTTGGGACTCGAGCCCGGAGATAACTCTCTTTGGCGATTAGTCAAGAGCAGAAAAAACAAAAGAGAAGCCACGACGCCTTTACACGGCCAACGAGGTGTCTGTTTCACAACGGAAGACAAAGCCTTAGCCTTCGCGGATACTATGGAAAGCCAATTTAGGCTGAACATTGACCCAAACGATGATATCGATAGAGATATACGAATCGAGGAAGCAGTGGAAGAAACACTGTTACTCAAAAGAAGAACTGAACGGACTGATTCGCGCTACCAAGCCCAAAAAAGCCCCAGGAGCTGACGCAATAACCAACAGGTTATTGAAGCAGCTGCCAGACAACCAAAAAACGACGCTCAAAAACATTATTAACAGCTCGCTGAATCTCAGATACTTCCCTGAGAGCTGAAAGCACGCTGAGATTATAGTGTTACCTAAAAAAGGACAAGACCCGAGATTCCCTTAAAACAGACCCATAAGTCTGCTAGGTTCCATGGCCAAGGTCGCGAAGAGAGTAGTCCTGCAAAGGTTGGACGAGGAGATCGAAGACAGACAACTCCTACCAGACGAGCAGTTCGGCTTCAGGAGAGACCATTCCTGCGAACTACAAGCCCTAAGACTGGTTGAAAACTCAATCCAAGAGATGAATAGGAAAGACACGTTCAAATACTACTGTTAGACATCTCGAAGGCCTTCGACCGCGTCTGGCACGAAGGTCTTCTACACAAAATGATTAATTTCAACCTACTACTGGGACTAGTCAAGTGGATAGGGTCCTACCTGAAGGACAGAGCTTAACAACATACGCTCGCCGGTAAGACAAATAGAAGCTGGAGTACCTCAGGGCGCAGTCCTCTCACACACACTCTACAACCTATATGTCAGCGATCTCCCGAGAACCGACCACGTCAAGGTCTCTCTCTATGCAGATGACACCGCCCTGATGTCCTAGTCCATGGCGAGAGAATTCGGGGTAGCCTACATGCAAACTGCAGTTGCAGCTCTCGAGACCTGGTTGCTGGACTGGAAAATCCGTGTGAACCCCGCAAGCGATAGCATTAGCCAGGCAAAGCGCCCACCCGAATCTCAGAGTTATCATGACAGGACAAGAAATCGCCTGGAGCCCACAGGTTAAGTACTAAGGTCTAACGATAGACCGCAAGCTTACCTGGGAGAAGCATATACAATCGGTGAAGACTAAAGTGAGCGCGAGGATGGCACATCATTAGAATAAAATTCTAAGGATGGCAACAAACGCTCCGTGGTATGTACGGAACGCAAACATCAGACGGGATCTGAATCTCCCAACCATTCGGGAGAGTATACAGACTCGAAATAGAGGAGTTTTCGAAATGGCGGAAACTCACGAGAACCCCCTAGTCGGGACCGTGGTAGATTAGGATATCGACTACCCTTCCTGCTTCAAAAGGCCTCGCATCTCCGCGAGGTGAGGTCACAGAGTTCAACAAAGAACACGGCGGCGAGAATTTAGTCTCGACCGTGCAACGCACCTCTCAGAGTTTTAACTAAGCCTATATCACAGGCAGATAGCACGAAAGAGTCAGGGATTTGAAATCCAACTCGATTTAGCAGAAGATAGGGATTGCCGACACCCAAGTTCAATCTAAGGAGTAGGCATATTGAGACCTTAGATAGATCTCGTGACGAGACCTGGGAAGTAGGCAGATTGTGGCCCCGGCGTCAAGCCACATCAAATTCTTGTTATGTGGTATTTATTATATCGGTGTTGGCAAATACATTATGTCTTTGTTAGAAAGATATCCCGAAATTCAATATATTAGTTTGAACGTGAATGTTATAGAGGTGTTTGATTTTCTTTCCGTCTAAGACCTTGGAAAAATTTGCACGTCGCTTCTACGCTGAAAAGCACAAAATTATTCAAGTGAAAACTGAAAATTTCTACTCAACTTAATAATCAATAACTTTTCAACAATAAAGCTTAATTGAACCAACTTGAATCGGGAACACAGTTTTCCAACGAAAAAGTTAAATAAGCTAATATAAACCGAAAATACTTACAATTTGACTGTACAATTAATATAGATGTGCGACAGGTCATTCTTCAACCATACTACAAATCAAATGCAATCGTTTTTTAAACTATCAATAGTGGAGTGTTGAAGCGTGAATTCGTAATCTGCCCCGGTATGAGTCATAGCGGGTAAAAAATCAACAAATTTTAAAACAAGTAATCCTGTTTAAAGGACGATAAATTTCGATCACATTCTCCATACCTTCAGTTCAGGAACGGTATCAGGATTTTTGCTGTTCATACATCGATAAAAGTATGTGACAATCCTGCTATGTGATTCTTTGTAATTGAAAAGTTCTACTTCCGCCTGAAGGAGCCGAAAAAAATCCTGAGCGTTTCGACGAAGCCAAAAGTTCTGCTCAAGATCTCGCTGTATTGACTCTGTAGTACTCGCGAATAAAAAATACCAGCAGGTATCAACTTTCATCAAGTCGTTGTCATCTCCTACTTCAATATGACGGTCATCTCCAGAAACTGAAAAATCATCAATTGTTAGGATAAAGGTGTTTCCATAACATGAAATTGTAGTACAATTGCTGAGGAGCAATACCGATATAAACTCTGTCCATCCGACAAACAAATAAATTCAAACAACGATAGATGCGTCATCGCCACGAGATTACCACGTAAATTTGCATCTACTGGATGAAATAAACAAGCCTCTTCACGCTGGCCAATCAGATTTAACTGCAATCGGTTGACGGAATTCATTCAGGTATATTGCTAGAGTCGGAGTGGTAAGTTACGTTTTAACACCTTTGGCACAGTAGAATAATACAACCAATAGGCTCTCTTATTACGTGATCCACACGAGGTGCCGGGGACCTTCAACCGCTCCTAGGATGACATTCTCATCCAACGCGTTCAGTGCTGTAGTATCGAAGGATTCGTCGGTCCACGGGCATCGGAGTAGTTATAATTAACGGTGGGAAATTGATATTGTGTTTAGTTTATTCGCTGTTGTTATTATGGTTTTTAGTTGGTTATAAGTAAGTTTTAGTTGGTTATAAGTAACTCACCACAAAATCTTCTATAATATCCTTAAATTTCGTTTTTATATAAGCGCACGCCTATGGTAAAAGAACGAAATTGGCTCCGCACTTCGTTTCGAGGTCACCGAGAACTTTGTGAATTTATGAATGAAAGTAGTGGGAATGGACTTACTGGTTGATTTTTACTATGCCTATGGTGTGTACATATATGGTATTCTGAAGTTTAAAATTTTCAAGATGTCTAGTACTGATATGGCTGAAGAAACTGTTAATTTGTATCCCTACGCTACACCTAAAACATTATCCTATACCCAGCCGCATATCATTAGATGGACAGAGTTTAGGTACAATGCACTGAACTCAGTTATATAAATCATTTTCAGATCGGGGTAGAGACACTCAGTCAAAATCAAAATAACCGAAAACAAATTGATCTCACAGTACAAATTAGCAGTGACAATTGAAAAATTAATAATGATATGAACTAACAGAAACGAAAACTATTTTAAAAAATTTTCAGTGAATTGGCGCAGTGGTAGTGCGCCCGACTCACGATTGAAAGGTCGTGAGTTCGATCCTCACCTCAATCAAATATTTTTTCCGAGATAATTTATCTAGTTGAAGTTGAAATATTTTTGCAATGTTACATGGCTCCTAGGTAGCTTCCTAGGTAGCTCGTGCTGTTATTACCATTGCCAACCCATAACACGAGGCTAATAACAAAGGAGTCAAAATGCCGTGAAGACTTCAAAATGAAATTGACTCAAAGTTATGAATGATTATTTTTATATACAAACGAATATATCCAACAAAACGAAACATGAGTTACTCAACAAAACAAAACATGAGTAGATAGGAAATAAATTGAAGGCCTATAATTTTTTTCAGGTCGGTGCCAGCACTTAAAATAAGCATTTGTTGTATACGTAAATTGTAGTCCCTAATTTGTTTCATAATACATAGTTTTGATTTCGATTTCTTGGTAAATTTTGTGTATATCTGTTAATATTACATCATAGTTTTGAATTAATTTCATTTCAGTCATTTCATTTTTCAATCACTTTTTTTTTAAACCTCAAGCTGAGGAATATGTCCGATACTAATTCATCATTCGATAAGTATTGTGGACTTACATATTTATTCCAAAAAATAAAGTATAATTTGAGTAGGAGTAGTAGAAATTTATTTATATTTATCAACTTTGAAACAGATATTCAGATTTTCTGAAAACATTGGGAATATTGCTTCATGATAAAAAAAGTGGTGATCATCGTTGATTTGAAGATCATACCACAAATGAGAAAATTCACCGAACTCCTTTTTTGGGCAAATGGGATTCATCCACATTTCCCGACTTGGTCGATATCGCCTGTACCTGATACGACGAAGAATCAAAGGTGATAATTCCAAAGCGGAAAAGTATTCATCAGAATAATTGAAAAACCTGTTCCAAAGAATCATCTCGCCTACTAGGAATCCGGACGAATACTAAGGCAATGGACGCTCCCAGTGGACGAGAGGCCTAATTACTAACATTCAAATGCTTATAGAATGTTCAAATCAGGATGTATCTACCTCGATCCGAAACGAGCACTTTTCTCAATCGCTAAAAATGCAATACTCTTCTCAACGCGCGTTTCACCAACTAACTTGGCGTCTTCAGTTCTTGCTTATCTCCTGAAGACGCCAACTTGGTTGGTGGAATGCGCGTCAAGAAGAGTATCGCATTTCTGGTGAATGGGAAAAGTGCTTGTTCTGGATTCATTCTACGCCAGTTTTACTTCGAAATGAAATATCTTCAAAATGCTCCGAGTTCCGTGTCCGCATTCGTATTCGCGGACACGCCTCTCTAAAAAACCGTATCCGCATCTGCGGATGTTGAAATTTTTGCAAGAGTAACAATCCTAAAACATACCTATACCATTGAAAGTCCGTATTGCCAAGCACAAGAGAAACACACAGCGAGGAGAAACCAGCAAATCAGGAATAGCAGAGCACATTTGGACTCATCAACATAATATCAAGTGGTCCCACGCTAAAATTATCCACAGGGACGAACACTAACTCAAGTGGTAGTTTAAAGAAGCTGTATATATTTTGTCCAACGACGCATTCAGCCAAGCTAGTGTAGAGGTACACAACATATGGAAACCTTTGATCAAAAAACGGTCAACTCCCAGTGGCGCAGTGGATCAAAGCGATAGAACCACCACAACAAACCACAAGAGCTAGCCCCACTCAAAATGAATTCACAGACCATTAAATTGACAGATCCATCCGTCGTCAACAAACTTCTTCGTCCAGTCCCATATATCCAAAATCCAGTAACGTTCCCCACAAAGCCTTCCTTCCTTACATTAAGGGTATAACTGACAAAATTGGCCGGATTCTCAAAAAACAGGACATAAAAACGACATTCACCGCCAACAATCAAATTTCCACATATCTCCGTTCTCCCAAGGACAAACTTGTAAATGAATCTCAGGGTATATATGAAATTTCATGCTCCGATTGCAATGGAAAATTTGTAGACCAGACCAACATATGTGTGACAAGTAGAATATACGAACATCAACTTGCTGTCCGAAAGTCAGACCCATCCTCAGCCCTGTCCAAACATCATCAAGAGACAGGACACAACATAGACTTTGCCAACACAAAAACCATCGCCACAGCGAAAACACTACAAGCTCGGATAATTCGCGAGGCCATCGAAAAGCGACCTTTCTACCTGAACAAACGTGATGACGGTCAGAGACTTCCAACTGCCTAGAAACCCCTAATTTCCCAATGGTCACCCCATCAAGACGTCCGCTGATGGTAATCACCCGAAGCCCCGCCCCCACCTTTCCACTTCAGTAACTTCCGTCGATTTGAATAAATACTGCCGAACACCCTTCGACATATATATATATATA